ATCCCTAATAAACCCAGACATCCCTAAGAAATAAACCCAGACATCCCTAATAAACCCAGACATCCCTAAGAAATAAACCCAGACATCCCTAAGATAAAACCCAGACATCCCTAAGATAAACCCAGACATCCCTAAGAAAAAACCCAGACATCCCTAAGATAAACCCAGACATCCCTAAGAAAAAACCCAGACATCCCTAAGAAAAAACCCAGACATCCCTAAGAAAAAACTCATGACTTTCGGGCTCTGGCTGATGATGATCTGTTTTCCAGGAATGGCTAGTGAAAACGCATTCGCCAGCCCGAAACGCTGGTGTACTCCTTGCAAAAAGTATCCTGACGAGGTGTCGATGGAGTTGTCGAAAAGGATCGGCAACGTCTGCCACCATTCTCTGTGGTCGTGGATTTTCTGTGTTTTCCATTTTCGAGCGAGTCTGTGGTGCTTGATCCTGGTGTAGGTGTATTTTGCAGCCACCAAAAGCGCCACTATAGCGACAAACTGCCACGAAAAGAGCAGAATCAACATGATTACAAAAAAACCCAGGTTATTGGCCTGCTTTTAGAGGTTCATTTTTGGTACTAGATAGAGTTGCAACTCCGCACTGAACAATGGGAGGCAGGGTAGCGTGAGATAAGTCAGATGATAAAGAGGTGATAACAAGATGATGAAAGTTTTACTGGAATTGGCAGAATTAGGAAACTTGGGCAGTATGGGTGCACAGGTGTCGGTGTGGTGAAGAACCGAGGTTCGTTATAACGGTTGCAAATCGTTTTGTGGGGTGCGGTTTCGGAGTTGAGGTATTCCGGTACCCGGTGGGCCTGTGATATGTGACGGGTTGATGGTGGAATTGGGGAATTGAGGGTAAGGGATTTCGATTTTGGAGGAATTGGGCGATGTTTTGCAGAGTGTTGAAGAAAAAAGGGCTTGATTTGGGTTGGCGACTAGTGGTGCTGACATGCTGCGGTGGTGTATCGGTCAATGCAGCAGAGCAGTTTTCGAAGAGCCTGATAGAATGAGGAACCCGAAGCTTGTGAAGGTCAATTGGCTTCCTGCTGGTGGGTTTTGGTGGAAAATGCTTTCCATGGATATTTTGTGTGTGGCAAGAATCATGGTCTACTATTGCTTGAGGTTGTCTAGAAACCAATATGGAGATTGGATGAGAACATGGATGTCAATTAAAGTCGTGCAATATGTTCGTATGGATTTTTGTGGCTTAATAGATCCCCAGCTCTGCAACGAAATGTTTTGTCTGAGGCACAGAAAGCAGCATCTGGTGATATGATCTTGTGTAACTAGATACCCCAATCAACTGAGCTCGTAACTGGTAGTCAGTTAGAGATTTGCTGTAACTGTCTTTTCCGTTATTTTGTCCTCTTAACTTATTCGCCTTGTCGGTACTTCAATTGAGGAAGTTATGATTTGGTAGACACAATGTATGGGTCAGCTAGGCCAATGGGCAATCAAGGGTCAACAATTCCGTTTCCTGTTTCCAATTACCTATACGATGACACGGAAGCAAAGAAGCTGCCGCTGCAAAGTTATCTTTTTGACCAACGCTCACGAGTGCTATCATTCAGTATTGTGCTTATCAAAGAGCCGCTGACGGTATATCAAACTCACTTGCTTTTACTGAGGAGGCCTGATTAAATCGTCCCTTACGCTGCAACACAAAAATTCGAATTTCGCTCGGAAGCTCTTATCGAAAAGCTGACACAATAAACTTCTGAGCGAAAATCGAAAGCTGACAATGCCGCAACGATCTTCCTCGCAGTAATTGACGCTTTTTCTACTTCTTTGAGAAACCAATTGCATTGGAGGATAAACAGGAGAAACTGTTTTGATTATAATTTCTTTGTTACGTGGGCTTTGAAGCAAATTAAGCCAAAAAGCTGCTCACGACCCATTCTTCCTGGCTTTCGCTTAGAACTCATGATGAAACGCTGTCAACGCTAAAACGCGTATTTTCGTTATCAATTCAACGCTCCGTTCAAAACCTGCCTACGCTACATCTAACTTCCTCACTATCTTTCAGAAGTCTTGATGAAAGCTTCCAACCCTCCCACGCAAACTAGCTGTCAATGATACAACGATCTCCCTCGCTTACGCTCTGAAGTCAAGAAGCTGTCAATTCTTTAACGTGAACACTTTGCTTCGCTCGAAAGCCCTCATCAAAAACTGTCAATGCTACAATGATCTTCATACCTATTGCTTTGAAGCTCGAACTCCTGACTACAGCTTTCCATGCTCCACCGCAAACTCTTCGCTACCAATCCGGGTTTGCTGATCAACAGCTGTCAATGCTACATCAACCTAAGTCCTAACCAAGAACCTGTCAAAGCCACAACGCAAACTTTATAGCTCAGATCTTCGCTCCACAAAGCCCCTTCCGCTACAACGAACTTCTTCGCCAAAAGCTTTCAACGCCATAACCCAGAATTCCGCTTACGCTCCGAAAGCTGTCACTGGTACATTGAGCTTCTTCGTTTCCACTTAGAGCTTTACTTTCCGTAAAGCCGCTTCCGCTACAACGAACTTCTTCGCTTACGTTCAGAAGTTCTAAATAAAAGCCTCCAACGCTACAGTGGAAACTCTTATCACTCAACAATTACTTCACTACACTCTCACTTGTTAAAACTCAAAAGCGGGTCATGTATTGTAGTTCTACTGCAGAGCACTTACAAAAGCATGGCGACACCGGCGGCAACACCGACAGCAGCGGCTGGGAAGACACCCTGGGCAGCACCCTCGTAAGAGGAGACAGCGGCAGAGGACTCAGCAGAGGAGGCAGCAGACTCAGCAGCAGACTCGGCAGAAGTAGCAGCAGACTCAGCAGCGCTCTCAGCAGAAGTAGCAGCAGACTCAGCGGCAGACTCAGCAGCAGTGGTCTCCTCGGCAGTGGTCTGAGCAGCAGTGGTCTCGCCAGTCTCCTGGGCCTGCTGGGAAGTAGCAGAGGTGGCCTCACCCTGGGTGGTGGTCTCCTCGGTGGTCTGCTGGGCCTCAGTGGAAGAGGTGGCTGGGGTGGACTCGGCAGAGGTGGTTGGCTCCTTAGCAGCAGCAGAGGAGATGGCGGCCTCAGCGGCCTCGTTGACAATCCAGTATGGCTCCCAGACACCGGCGTTCTTACAGATCTGAACGGAGGCGTCGTAGGCCTTCTGGGCGTCGGAACCAGTACACTTTTCAGCGTAGCACTCGGTCACCTTGGAGGACCAGGTTTGCATGACACAGAGACAGCCGGTGTCCCAGTATGGGCATGGGGTGGAGGAGGTGGACTCCTTGACACAGGGCTGGGCACACTCTGGAAGGGAGTCGAAGACGGGGTCGGCGAAACCGTTGATGGTGGCGGTCTTTGGAACCGATGGGTAGGTGGCCCACTGGTTGGTGGTTTCAGCGGCGACGGAGGCGACGAGGGCAGCGAGTGGAAGGGCGAAGATCATTGTGGTGGAAGATGGAAAAGATAAGAGCTGGCCGAGGGGGGAGACGCTGCGTTTATATACCCTGGAAGAGGGCGCTTTTTTTTCCTGGCTGCAAAAATACCGTCCCTATGGCCTGCAGCCCGTCCTGCAGACAGCCACGCCAAGCGATCGGCAGTTGCTATTTCGGGGGCTTCTGGCCGCCCAGCCTGGCCGCTGTTTAGGGACATTGCAGTGCCTAAAGCAGACGCTGCACGGCCGGAACTCGCTCCCTGGGGCCAGAATGTGTGCGGGTGCGGCGACAAGTCTTCATAGTGGGCCAGGGCTCGTAACATGTGCGCATGCAGCACACTGCGGCTCGCATGCATACTGCCCTCGGCGCCGACTCGGTCACCCTCGGGTCTCACCCTCTAGGCTACCCCCGGTCCCGCCAGCCGTTCGGCGATATCGTTAGATGGTTAAGATAACCTCCCCACCCCGTGTATTCACCTTTCGGCGCTGCTCGCATATTTCCGATTCCGGCCTTTTTGAAAATCTTATCTGATCCGCAGGGTTCTTCGGGGCACCCGGCCAGGCGTGTGTTTACGTTTCTACGGTTTATTATTTTTCGGACTTTTCGCCTGCGCATCGCTTATGGATAGACTGAAAAATGGCAAATAATAGAAACTCGGGGGCACTTCTGAAACTTTGAATCCAGGCCCCAAACCGCTCCGTCGTAATTGTAAAAAAAGAAGCAGCTTAAAAAAACACACCTCGACTATCTGGCGTGATTCGCTGGAAGGCCTCATTCGCTTGGCCTCGAAGGAAGCTGTTTTTCTTAGACCTCTTTTCTTTTACCCATTCATCTTGAAGCATGGGCCGCAGCACGGATGACAAGCTGCTCGTCTCTGCAACAATCTCCGTTAAGTGCGTTGTTGAAATCTATCAAATGGTGATCTTACGCTTCGGACATGAAACTTAATTACGGGGTCCTAATTTTACGGACCGAAATGTCCACTATTGCTCTGCCTCTTTCAGAAATAAAGTTGTTCCATCACCAGGTCCTCGTTTGTTGCTTGCTTCGTTTTTAGCTTTCTACTCACTTCGCCTAAACCTTAATTACACTCAGCTCGGTGTTTCACTGGAGCTTTCCCCTCCATGTTTACGTTTGAATTTCTTTCGCTATGCGTTTCTGTTGCTGCCAAAAATGGCCCTGTCCTGCCTCTTTGTGTTTATCCTCGTTGCAGCCATCCCAATTGAGCAGCGGTATCACCGACAGCACCAAAATTACTTTGACAGGTTGAGAGTTGAAGAAGGCATTCCTATAAGAAAGAAATAAGTAGAAACGAATGACAACTGAAGATCAGTGGTGAGCTCAATTGAGAATCTACAAATCATAAATTAATGGCAGTCCAACAGAATCAGAGGGGCTTGGTTTCAAGTCAAATAAACCCCCCCATTGGCTCCGTCGGAAGCATTCCTCATTGGAACATCCGCTGCCGTGTTCGTAAACCCGCCGCCTTGAGCCCTGGAACTACCCCGGAAATTGACCATATTGTTCCAGGTTAGAAGCTCGGGGTGGAAGGCTGGTTTGAAGTTTTGCGAGCGGTTAGAAATCAAACACAAAACGCAGTGAAGGTTTGAATTTCATTTATTGAGGCTAGCCAGAATTAGTTAATTTTTTTCAAAATCGGGTTGTACGGTGTTTGGCATCCAGCCGCTTCGAAATACGGAATCAGCTGTCTTTGTCGCTTGGCATGGAAAATCGTGTTCCATTGTTGGCGATATGCTTTTGGCGTCGTGCATTTGTTCGGGGGTCTTCTTCTCCGTCAATTTGGATTGTCCGTTTCGGAAGAAAATGATAAAAAATGGAGAGGCAAGAGATCTGTGGATTGAGGGAGCTTTGAACCGTGCCAGAATCGAGGAACTACCACCAGAAATCACAGATTCCATATCACCAAAAGTGATACAAGTAATACTCCTTTTGTAGCAGATTCTTCCTTTATTGGCCTTTTGCATGCATCAATGGGACATTGGCAGGTCTGAGACATCTGGTGCCATACCTTGTGAGACCAAGAGACTACTCTGTTAGAGAAGCACCGTAGACGGCAATTCATGATTTAGAACTAAAAAAATTGAAGTATCAAACTAGTGAAACGAGCTTATTGCTTCAATCCATAAGAACCAATTTAATTTTTGAGCTGGTGAAACAACTCATTTCATCAATCCATAAGTACCAAATAAAGGCATCGTCACCAACATCAATGCATTTGGTGCCTTTATAAGATTAGATGATACCGGCGTTTCGGGCCTCTGTCATAGTTCTAAACTAGCTTACGATGGACGTCGAAAACCAATAGCTGGAAATTCTGTTCTCGAGCTTATGTAACGAGCTCATTGCATCGATTCATAAGAGCCAAATTGCCAAATTGGTGAAACAACTCATCTCCTCAATCCACAAGAATCAGTTTAATTTTCAAACTAATGAAACGAGCCCATTCACCGATCCACCAGATCAACGCTAAATTTCTCCTCCCACCCTCTCACAACCACCACCACCACCACTAACTACACCCAGATCCAAAGACAATTGACTATTTACGAACTTTTATTACCCCCACATCTAGGCAACATCGAGACCTCTAGTGCAACATGGAGAGCAACGCCACAAGCACCAAGGCCGCAAGGCCCGTCTGCTGCACACTAGCACCAGAGTCCAGCGACAGAGAGCCGTCAGTGGAATTACCCGAACTATTCGTATTGTTAGCACCGCCAGTCACACCAGCAGCCACAGAGCTGGCAGACTCAGTAGAAGAAGCAGAACCGGTAACCACATTTGTACCCGAAACCTTCTTGTTTCCGTTGTCGCCAAAGTCCGAGTCCTTGGTCGTGGCAGCAGCAACCTGCCAGGTACCGGCAGCCAGAGAAAGCTCCGTCGACACCGAGGCAGGCATCATCCAGATATTGGCACCAGCAGACTCACAGAGAGAGTAAGCCAAAGAAGTAGCACTTGCAACGTCAGAACCTTGGCACTTCTCGGCAAAACAGGACCCGACTTGGCCTGACCACTGGGGCATCACGCAGAAACAGCCTGTGTCCCAGTAAGGACAAGGCGTGCTCTTGGTGCTAAGAGTGACACACTCCTTGGCACATTCTGGGAGTCTGGAATAGATGGGATCGGCGAAACCGTTGATGCTGGCGGACTTGGGCACGGAGGGGTAGGTGTCCCACTGGGAGGCGAGGGCGCCGGAAAGGAGGAAAACGAAAGGAAGCATGGTTTTTGGGGTTTGAGATGAGGATTTGGATGGTTTTTTATGGGTGCAAAAATGGTGGTTGAGTTCCGAGGGTACCGAGGGTGCACGACGCATCGGGTACAGGCGGCTTTCGGGGTGGCCGGGGTGTCAGTGACATTTAAGCGACTTCTGGGGAACATTCTACATTTCCGGCCTTCAGGGAGACTGCCTCATTGGCTTAAGTTTCCCCATAATTTTCTTTGAGTCAATCTTCCGTGGATGGTCCGTGCTCGGTTTAGCTCCCCCCGGAAGTCGCCCATGCACGGCTCGCAGCGACAGAGATCGGTGGCAGGCCTATGTGCAGTACCACAACTCCTCGGTGACATCGGTCGTCTTGGGCAGTGATGTAGACGCTCTGCAAGCAAGTGGAGCCAGGTTGACGTTTATCCGTCAAGCAGGTGCATAGGAAACAAACAGTGGTATTGTAGGCGCTGTTGTGGGCAGGTGCGTCTAAAGAGACTTTTAGAGATGGTTCGAGTGGGCTTAGAGGGGTTTACGGAGGCTTAGCGTCACTAATTGGCTTACAGAGCAAGCCATGCTAAACAGAAAAAGAGGCATCTGACCAAGGCTTTCGAAAAAGATGCACCGTACGTTTTGCGTCTCTTTCGGGCCTTGCCGAGGGCCAATGAAAAGAGATGGCGTGAGTGCGGCGCCGCAGATGGAATAGATACCGAGGGGCCTAAAGTGACAATACAATAGGTCGCTGTTTTGTCCGGTTATGATCCTGTGGGGTGACAGGGGTGGCCTTTGGCGGGGCGACTCTTTTTGTTTTTGTCTTTTTTTAATTGTAACGTTTAGCCTGCCTTAGCACCTCACCTGACAGCTTAGTCCCTCCGCCATCGGTGACTAAATTTTCTTTTTCTCGGTAAGGCGGGGGCTTGCGGCGGTATCAGATCCATCAGATGATGGGGAGATGCAGTGCGCCTAATGCACAGAAACCGAGGGCAGATGCGGCCGCTGACGGGTCGGAACGGGGCCCACGAAAACCGAGGGCCCGATCGCCGTGCACCGGTGCTCTTCTCCTCGGTACGTTAGGGGGCTTATGCTTCGGTTCCGTTTAGTGTTTGCTCAACAGGGTCTACCTCTCCGGAAGCTCCGAAAAATCCACAAAACTGAAACGGGGTTTTGGGTGGTAGTGTGGGATGGGTTTTGTTAGCGGGAGGCCGTTGCTAATATGGAGGAATAATCGTGGATTTTGGCGTGGGACCCTGGTTTAGAGGAAGTGGCTGGGGTGGCTTGGATGCAAAATAAGATTGAGTGGATGCACTAGGATTAACCGTTTAGGAGATTTGGTTGTATTGTAGTGTCCGGGTGGATTGACATGTGCTGGAGATCCCGGCTTTGGATTTTTCAGCGTCGGAATGTGGACCTCCAAGTGGGACCCTAGAGTATCACAAAACATAGTCAACGTAGTCAATGGCGTAGTTTATAGCACAAAGTTGGGGACATAGCTTTTGACACAAAGTCAGGAAAAGCTTTGAGTCATTGATTGGGAGCATTTTGTGTAATGGGATCTGTACCTAAAGCTTATATATACCTTGCACCAGGTGATCGTCAAGCCATAATGGACCCCTCAGTGGCACCATGGAGATATCGCCATGCTGCTCTACCACTGAAAAATCATCCTCTAAAATGCCATCCTCTAAAATGCCATCCTGCCCTATTTCCTTGAAGGCCCCGCTTGTGGCCCCGGTCTAGACATACACCGGAAGGATTCCGTCCATTGTCCTCTCGTATTTCCCAGTGGTACCCTCGAAAACCCAGAAACAAGCATTCCGTGATTATAATGAGGAGCCGACGATTGGCGAGGTTGGTCGGAAGCCAAGACCCCAGCGGCTCCGATATGTCCGTCTCCACCTGATCTCCTGTGGATGTGATGGGCCAAAGGGATCAGGGCTCAATTGGGGAAGACCTGTGAAAATGGATGGTTTTTCAAATCGGGTCGGTTTGTCAAAACAGGCAGGTCGGTGAAGGGGGTTGCCCGGGTGGTTTGGGGAATTTTGGAAAATGGTGGAAATGGTTGCAAATGCGGTGTGGAGGTGGACCCAGGGCTACTGATGGAGAAGGTTTTTGATGGAGGTGGTTTTGGGATTGAGTGGTGTAGATGATTTTGAAAGTTGATTTATTGAGGAAAATTGGAAGAAATTGGTGGTTGGCTGCTTTGGCAAGAGTAGGTTGATGGTGATATTCATGGGTTGTAGGTTGGAGAGGTACACGATGAGATGGAGATGGTAGATTTAGTAAAACCACAATCTGAGTAAAAAACTGTCTAATTTTCTATGGATGACTTCATTGGGCTCTAATTCGGCATAAATAAGCCCTCTTCCCTTCACCACTGCCTGTGTTCCAGAAAACCATCGATTTTTCACGCCTCATCGCTCGAGATGAGCATCGCTCCAAGAGATGAGCTACCCTGATTTCGAAAGCACTTCAAACGAGGCAAAGAAAAATCGATTAAAGTCCAAATATCCAGAAACCTGGCTAAGCACGCCCCACCCTCGGCTAATCTACACCCTCCACTACTCCACTACTCCACATATCACCACCACATCCATTGCATCATTGCATCACCATTACATCACATCCCAGAGCCCCACGACGGACATATCGCTGGCATCTCCATCACCCCCTAATCCACGCCAAAACGACATCTACAGCAAAACGTCTACAGCCAAACCCACCTCACTCATAGTAGCACCTACAAAGCATCTCTATACCAGAATCCCTGGTCCGTATTTCCTATGTACCTAAGTCAAAAGAGCACCGAGAGCCAACAAAAGCGCAACGCCGGCACCCTGGGCAGCAGCGCCGTTGGAGCTGCTCGAATCAGTTGGTCCGCCAGAACGGGTCTTGTCCTCGGTTCTAGCAGTAGCCATCACAGACAGTAAAACAGACGATTCGGTCCATGGCGAGTCTGGGGTAGTGGAGGGAGCGGAGTAAGCAGTACCGGCAGCCAGCGAAAGCATGTCGGAAACAGAAGAAGGCATGATCCAGGCGTTGGCTCCCACCTTGATACAAAGCGACATGGCCAAGGAAGTGGCAGAGGCAACCTCGGTGTTACGGCAGCCCTCGACAATACACTGGGCCACAAGACCAGACCACTGGGGCATCACACAGAGACATCCAGTGTCCCAGTAAGGACAAGGGGTGGATCTGGTGGAGAGCTCCACACAGCTTTTGGCACACTCTGGAAGATCGTCGTAGATGGGGTCGGCGAAACCATTGTAGGTAGCGGTCTTAGGAACACTGGGGTAGGTGCTCCACTGGTTGACAGCAAAGACGGAACCAAGAAGGGAGAAGACAGTCAAGGCGTTGGTGAGCTTCATTCTGAGGATAATGATTTTTGATGGAGGGGGAAAAAAGTGGGTGGAGCGGGGGGTATTTATGCTCGATGAGATATTAGGAGAAGCCAGGGCCAGAATGCTTGGTGCGTTTCTGGTCATTCATTATTCTTGGTTTCGCTTGATAGGTTATAGACTAGGGTTTGAGCGGAACTATAATCTGGCCTGCAGCCGGAGGCCAGGCGACTTCCGAGGGTGCCACTCTCGGCGCTGGCGCTTCAATGCCCTCGTGCGTGCGGCGGATACCTGGTTTGAAATGCCGTGCTCGCCGCACAGGCTGCATTGCCGCAGTCTCAGAAGTCCAATAACCTGGCCATACAAACTGAGGGTCTAGACCTTTGGTAGACCATCTCTTGGAACCGTTCCGGTTGACACCCGTCAATAATAAAAAGCGCCTTGGCACGGCGCCAGTTTTTACGAAGCGCCAAGAAATTTAAGCCCGCATGAGCGAAGGATTGTCCGCCTGCACACAGCAGTATCTACGACCATCTGTACGCTCCACGGCGCCTTTCTCGTGCATATGTGGGCGCACGGACTGCACACAAACCATCAGATAACTCTTCCACCGAAATCACCGGCCCCCGTTTTTCCTCTCCGTAGGCCGCCTGATGCACCCTCACCGGTGGACATATCGCTTGGAAGAATTATCAGACCCTCGGCACGAAAACCCCCGGATCTCCTCGCTGACTTCCGGCCTGGCAATTCACCGATATCACCATCGCATCGAGGCACCTTTTCCATTAAAGAAGTAGCTGAATCCGGCGATCAAGAAAACCCAGAAATTTCATAGTCTGCCCAGGACACCAAGACACCCCGGCTTCCAAGTCATCCAAACACCTTGGCTCTTATCAAAAAGATCAGTCCATACCCCAGGAGGTCTTGCTTATCGAACCACAATCCTTTTAGTCTTGTTAAGCTAGCTCATCTGTGGATCTTTCCTGTCTCCCATAAACCCAAAAGCATATTAAGAGCAAATCCACTCCAGTGACGAGTCAGCCAGGGTTTCTAGATCTTCTCCGATAGCATATACAAGAGATTATCAAACAGGGCTTCGAACAACTCCCCTTTGATTGGTGTACTTTCTAGTGTCATCTCCACAAACCCCATATTTATACTTCTTGCCTGCTCAGCAAGAACCGGTCATTAGCATATTCCAGCCAGTTAGCATCAACCCCCTCTTTTTGCATCCCAGCTAACCATGACGATTGCCCTTGGAGACCAGTTTTTCGTGGAAAAGGACCGTAACACCAGATACGAGTTTCTCGCCATGTTGGTGAGTTTCGTACTTCCCATGATTCACGGTGTTCTTTTCAGCTGGATCCCGTTCTACCTCCGAACCAAGCGTGATCAGAAAACACTCAAATACCACAAGTTCTGGACCATGATGAGACACTACGAGGGTTTCACGAAAGTGTTCAAAATCACCATCTTCAAACACGCCTTTTTCGTGCAGCCTGCCATGCTAGTCCTGATAGCCATCCACTTGGGCCTTAACGCCGTGCTTTGTATCGCTCAAACCGCAGAAATCGACTATGAGCCGCTTTACTACGTTGTTTCCAAGAGAATCGGCCGTATCGCTATTGGTAACCTTCCGGCGATTCTCCTTTTTGTGGCCAAAAACGACTTTGTTTCCACCTTGAGTGGCCTTGATTTGGACAAGTCCGTTTTCTTCCACAAATGGCTTGGACGTTTCATGTTCCTTGCCGTGACGCTCCACATGGTGCTTTCTCTCCAGTACTGGCTCAGTTTGGAGTTTTACATCATGATCCAGATCCCACCCCAGATTTTCGGCATGATCTCGTACGGCTGTTTGGGTATGTTGTGTCTTGCATCGTTCAAGTTCATCAGAAACTTCGCTTTCGACTTCTTTTTGGCCCAGCACAGAGTCTTCAATTTTGTCATGCTTCTTTTGGCCTTTTTCCACAACGGAGGCAACAAGGCAGCGGTGCTTTTGGCCGTGCACATGTTGGTGTTGGACAGAATCACCTCGAGGGTTTTGGGTATCGTCACCAAACGCAGAGGACCCACTAAGGGCAACTCTGATTTTGAGATTTTGGACGAAACCACCATCAGAATTTCTATTCCGGTGGAAATCAAGCCCCACAACCAGGACAGATGGTTCTGGTTCCTTGTTCCTCGTTACGGAGGCTGGAGAGCCGGTCAGCATGTCTACTTGAACGTCATGAAGGTGAGTTTGTTCCAGTACCACCCGTTCACGATCGCCAGTTTGCCCGATTCCGGCAAGATGGTCATTGTGATGAAGGTGATGAAGGGCTTCACCAAGGGCCTCATGAAGAAGTTGAACAAGTTGAGTGAAACCGAGGACGACGAGACCTCTGCGGAAGCTGAAACACAGTCGGTGCTTTCGGCTACCCAGCTGACCTCCTCCATCACCAGTGAAGAAAAACTCATGCAAGCAGCCGAGGACGAGGTGCTCAGACCACAGATCCAGGAACTCAAGAACGTCATTGACCAATTTGCATCTCCACGCATTTTCAAAATGAAGGCGGGTATCAACGGACCCTACGGCGCCAAGTACCAGCCGCTCACCAAGTTTGAAACGGTGCTTTTCTTCAGTGCCGGTTCGGGTGCTGCTTTTACGCTTCCCGTGGCCTTGGATCTCCTCAAAAAGCTCAAGCAGAGAGACGACGCCGGCGACTACATGTACCGTCCGGAAACCACGAAAATCAAGATTATTTTGTCGATGAAGAAGATGGCCAACCTCCAGTGGTTCGACCACTTGTGGCCCGAGTTCCTTCCTTTCCTCAACGAGGGTAGAGCCCATTTGGCCGTGCACCTTACGCTGGAGAAGCCCAAGCCTGTGACCATTGAAGAAAAAGACAAGGAATCGAAGAAATCTGAAACGCTCGAGCAGACTTTTGTCAGACAGCAGCTGTACGGATCGTCCTCGGCTTCTCTTCAGGACTGGAACGGCTATTCTGTCACATACAGCAGACCAAGATTTGACGATATTATTACTGACGCTGCCACGGAGCTTCGGGACCCTGCCTACCGTAAGGCGCTTGCCTGTGTGGGCTGTGGACCCGAGTTGTTCAATGGCGAGATCACCTTGAGTTGCCAGAAGAACAGAAAGGTCAAACACGCTCCAGATGTGTACTGCTACACCGAGTCGTTTGGCTGAGGAATGGGATATAGAGAATATATAATAGACTGGGGGTGAGTGTAGGGCATTTATCGTCAGATATTGATTCTGGGTGTTGAATCAAATATTGCCTTTGGGTATTAAGTTGACACATATGGTGCACTTTTTTGGTTTCGTGCTTGAAATCACACTCCGATAAACAGGAAGCAGCTTTTTCACCACATCACAGGCATCCTTTTAAATCATCACCCAGAAACCCTTCTTCTTTTAGGGTTCCTTTTTCCGTGGTTAACTGGCCTCTTGCCTTCAAAGAAGTAGTTGACATCAAATGGGAGAAGACAAGATACGGCATTTGCTTTGTACACCCTTTCGGAAATATCCATCCGCTCAATGTGTTCCACTTCAAAGTGCTGCTTCACCATATCCAACTTCTCAAAATGTCCAGCATGTGGAAATATCATGAAAAAGGAAATCTCCTCCGGAGTGAATCCCCCAACAGATTCCATTCTGTCAATAAGGGCTGGAACTGTTCGCCACTGCTTTCTGCAAGTTCTTCGGAAGGAAGCCCCCATGACATTCAAAAACTCGATATACTCTTCTCGTTCCATGTCACAACAATAAAGATGGAGACCTCGAAATATATCGAGGGGTCCACCCAGATATTTGAATTTACATTGATAGTAGATGAAAGATCCACTGATACACTTTGAGTGAACTAACTTGCAAACACTGTCGGCATGTCTCTTCACTTGTTGTTTATCAGTCCTGATAATGGTTTTTAGATACTTTTCAGCTTCCTTCGGCCCTTTGAAGAAGTAGGTATTGATATATTCACCGACATCCGAGCAGAAATTTTTTTTCACCTCCTTCATGAAGCAGGAATACCAGTAGGCATAGTCCCTTTTTAGGCGGAGTGTAAACGGTAATTTGAGTTCAAGCGAGTTATCGTCGTCACTCCATTTGCCATAAGGAACGAAGCACTGTACGGGCGCATAAAAATCTGACATAGTCCTGTGGATTTTTATTGATGTTGAAAGAAGTAGTAGCTACATTATGGTTGATTTTATCTATAGTTTATAGGGAGGCTGGAGGCAAGGGATGAATCTCCACATTGATCCAGCCTAAAGTGGAAGACCTGCAGAATGGTGCATGGTCCGATAAGAAATGCAGGTACCAAGAGGGTACCATGGGGATACTCAATGGATTTGGAGTTTTACAAATCTTGAACTGTGATTTTTTCTATTGATATCATCTGTTCATGGGTGCTCGAAGGATTTCTGAAAATGTGCTCGATGGTGCCGTTGGAACCCATCTTACCGTTCTAATGCAACGTTCATGCAAGAATGTGTCAATTCACTTTTAGAAGATTTTTAAAAGGGATCGAAATACGCATGAAGTCGTCCTTTCGGTGCTTACACGAACTATAATATTGTCAAAGACGATTAGTGTAGTGAAATTGGCAAAGGAGGTACTTTCAGGAAGTGGCTGCGAAAAGTGAGCCCATGAAAGTTGGTGATATAAGTGTATTTCCAGGAATATGCATCATCTTATAAATGATAAGTCGGCTACATTCACGGTTTCAACCTCCTGAATTCAACCATTCACAATGCTAACTCAATCAAGCTAAACAGCTAGAACACCTTAAACAGACTCAAATCCACCTTATCTGCCTGCTCTACCACACAGCTACACCTCAATCTAATCATCAGTCGTTGCTATAAACCGCGGCTCTAGTCCTTAACAGGACATCTAGTCCTTGACAGGAAATCTGTCGCCCTCCCAGTACTTGAAGCCAAGACCGTGGCCGAACGGATCGTTTCTATAACGCTTGGGCTCCTTCTCGCCGATCTGGTGGAGCTCCTTCAACTCCTCCTGGGTCAAT